TTTACTTTTTACAACGTAAAATGAATCTTTTTCAATCATATAGATGTAAAAAAATGAGATTTAATTGTTAGATATGTAAATACATGGATATGTTTGTAAATCTTTCACATCATAAACATAAAATAAAAATTTGACGAATTTTTTTGTTTAAAAAAAGGTATCAAATTATTAAAAAAATATTTGAAAATTAAATAATTATTACCTGTGAAAGTGGTGAGAACGACCTCATACTGCTGGCCCACAATAACCATATCGAGCGGGACCGCTTCTCCCTCCTCAAAATCGTCCTCTTCGCACGCACCATATCTCGCCTTCGTCAGCGGTATAAATTCAAAGTATGCGAACGTAGGAATTACTGTAAAAATCGTGTGCTCCGGCGGATCCAACGGGGCAAGATTCACCCCAATCCAGCTTTCGGTGGATCCATAGTCAGCGCATACGAGCGGCAATCCGCCCGCATAATGTCTCAGTTTCTCTACGTACGGGATCATTGACCCGGTCATGATCGAGTACAAGTACTTGGCGTTGGGCCACAAGAACCGGACCGCCCCGGCCCAGTCCCGGTTCACTAGCTCCTCACATATTCTTTTCATTTTCTCCGCTCGGTCCGGGTCGGGCCGGGCCATAAGGCTCAGAACGGCTCTCCTCACCTGAAATCAATAGAGATATTTAAGTTTATAATTTTTGGTGATTTAAATGTTATATTTATAATTTTGATGGTTAAAATATTAAATTTAATATTTTGAATTATTTTTATGTAAAAAATCTTAAAAATTAATTTTTGAAGTTTATTATGATATATTTAAAGGTTTAAGCTACACAAAAACCTTTTTTTCTCTACTCTTTTATTAAAAATATTAAAATAAAACATTTAAGAAAAGATTTTACTCGACTTAAAAAATTATTATGGATGTTTGTGCACTATATTTAATGCACTCACACTCCACTCTAAATCATCCCCATTTATTGCGATGTGATTGGGGGATTTACATGCCTACCCATCAAATATTTTAATATCACAAAAATTACACCCAAACTTATTAACTCCAATTATTACATTCGCCTATTTAGAAATGTATGCATCGTCCGATCTTCATCATTGATCAGAATAAAGTTGTATTTCAGTAGTCCCAATTTAAAAAATAAAATTGATGGAAGCTCTGATCAACGATAGAGATCAAACGGCGAATGCATTTCTGCATACGTCGTCCGTATGGAATAATTTTTCCCAATTATGTCACTCTGTTACTCGCCCCATCCAGAGAGAACTCAACCGCCCCAGTGAGTAGAAAATATTAAATTCAAATCGAGTTACATTCCGACGCTAACTCTCTAGTTAAAAAATTTAATGCATGAAAGATATATAAAATATTATTCTATTATCTAAACACCGGAAAAACTCGACCATCATTGATAATGATGTATAAGAGTTGCACTTAATTTTTTTTTAGTACAATTATATTATACATTATGACTCTCACATCGAATTATTTATTTGAATATTTTTTTACTCAGTACAACATCATTAAAAAAAGCTCAAGCATATTGTATATCATGACTTTCACATCATATTATTTATTAGATAATGTTTTAGAGTTTTTTTGGGTAAAATTATGTTGTACATCAAGATTTTCACATCGTATATCTAATTAGATATTATTTTTGTTTCGTTTTTCTTCAGTACAATCATGTTGTACACACGAACCAGCCAGGGAAGGGCGGACCGGGGAAGGGCGGGCGGGGAAGGTTCGCCGGGGGGAGGGCTCATGCAAGAGTTGTGGCATAGGTTCGCGAGACGGAGGGGGTTGAATTAGGGCTTTGGGGTGACAGTTTAATGTCGTAGGTGTCAATTGCTATGGATATGATAAAGAAAGGCGAAGTACATCCAATAAATTAAGATTCATTGAGGCGGTGTCTGATTGCAACACTAATTTACATTAAATATGGCTTATTAAATATAGTAAATTGCATAAATCTTAGGGGAAAAAATCTTTAATATACCGCACAGTCGAATTGATTAAATCCTTATTTATCAAATATAACACAAGAAAAAGATCCAAAATACTTAAAAATTAAATTTTACGGAGCGTTAGGTTTAATTATCACTTTTTTGGCGTTTGATTGATTTTATGTTAAATTTATGACTAAATCCTATTAAAAACATGTATTAAAAACATGTGAACAAACAAGTCTAAAAAAATAGAATATTACGTGCAGCATTCGCATGTGCTGATCAAAATATTGAGATAATATTGGGGTATTAACTATCAATATCATCTCAATATCACGCCAATACCACTGAGCTAGCTCATGCCCACGTAATATTTTTGCCTTCAAAAGTGGGTTTTTTTTTTTTTTTGAGTCAATTTTAACAGCTTC